ATATTAGTTTCACCTTTTAAGTTGTATTACTGAAATAAATTAACTTTTGCACGATATTCTAATTTTTTGAGTTTCACCTGTAGGTCTGGCAAGGTGTCTCCCACACAGCAAGGCTTCCCTAAATGGACACCCAACAGTAGCTCCAACCACAGAAATACAGAAAGGAGGGCCAGACCAACATCAGATAACAGTTCAAGAGAGACTTAGTTGATAGTAAACAAAAGTCCTATAAAAACATCCAGTGTGATTCAGGGGCAACACCACTCCCTCTTCTTCAGGGCTTAACACCGGATAAACTTCGGATGACAACGACTCCACAGAACTATATTAGAACTTGTATAGAATTCTCCATGTGGAGTAACAATTTGAGCAGTAATGGAGCTCAGTTGTTTCTCAGCAACCGGTTTTGGTCTGGTGGTCTTTCTGTATATTTCTGGTTACACATCACTGTCATAACAGCCCATTTACAAAACAATATTTATAAACCCATTCCTGCCTGCTGAGAAACAAGGGCCACACAACAAGTACCAAAGGGGTTGTCATGATGCCCTCAGGCCACAGGTTGGACACCAGTGCTTTAGTCAATCTACAATTAAACACAATTAAATTTGTCCAGACTGCCACAAATAGTTACAAATGTTTTCTAAGCATCTAATAAACAAACAAACTTAAAAAAAATGTTTTTTAATATTCCTTTTATGAAATACTCTACCATGTAGAGGGGGTGTCCAAGCTTTCTAAGCAGGGAGTCAAATTACTGACCTTCAGACTTTAGGTGGCCAGACTGTGGCCAGTGGAATGAGAAAATTCCTCAGGATTAGTCGGAGGAAATAATTCCTCAGGATATTAGTTATCAGTGGAAGTAAACAAATTTGCAACTGGGATCAGTAGAAGGAGAAATAGTGCCCCATTGTTGGTGTCAGTGGGGGGGGGGGGGATAGTGCCCCATTGTTGGTGTCAGTTTGAGGAATAGTGCCCATCATTGGTTTCAATAGAAGGAATAGTGTCCCATCATTGGTTTCAATGGAAGGAATAGTGCCCCATCATTGGTGTCAATGGAAGGAATAGTGTCCCATCATTGGTGTCAATGGAAGGAATAGTGCCCCATCATTGGTGTCAGTGGAAGGAATAGTGCCCCATCATTGGTGTCAATGGAAGGAATAGTGCCCCATCATTGGTGTCAATGGAAGGAATAGTGATCTATTTTTGATATCAGTGTAAGAAATAGTGCCCTGTGTCAATAGAAGGAACAGTGTGCCATCATTGTGTCAATAGAAGGAATAGTGTCCCATCATTGGAATAGAAGGAACAGTGTGCCATCATTGGTGTCAATAGAAGGAATAGTGATCCGTTTCTAGTATCAGTGTAAGAAATAGTGCCCTGTCATTGGTGTTAGTGGGAGGAATAGTGTTTTGTATAAATGAGAATCTTCCCCAGGGATAATGTCAAGAAAAGAGTTTCATCTGGCCCATGGCCTACAGTTTGGAGACCACTGATATAGAGGAAGAGAGATCCAAAATTCTATTGCATCTTCTTAAAAAGACTACTTGATTCAACAGATAATCCCTTCTTGTAGATCAATACATTTTTTTGCTAACAAAGTAACCTTCAACAAGCAAGTAGAAATACTTCAAAGGACCCCTTTTCACTTTATGATTGTGGTTGGAACTGAGAATTGTCATTCCAGAGTTAGGAATGGATTACCATCTTCCCAGATTGATGGAATTGGGACGTACGCTTTAAAAGCAAAGCCATGATGTCCTCCACAGACTTCCTGTGAATGATTTTATTGACAGATATTTCTTTCTCACATCAGTTCGATCCCACAGGACTGCAGAATGAGTGACAACATCAGAAATTTCCGTCTTCGTGACGTTGAAGGAAATGAAGGTTATAATCGGATCATCTTGCAGCTCTTCGGGTTAACGGGAAATGGGACATCCTCCTTCATCAACTCCTGCAAATATGTCATCGATGGCGGAGAGTTTGTTGCCCACGCTTGGGCTGGAAGAGGGCCAGGAGCATCTACCATTAGGAGAATCCCTTATGAGCTCACTGAGTCAATACTGATGGTGGATAATCGGGGGATGTCAACACTGAACAGGTTCCAGACAGGAGAGATTTTTGCTCAGCTGGGTAAAATTTTATGAACCTTTAAAATGACCTCAGTGATGTTATTATCAATAGTCCAAGCAATGTGCAGTAACCATACATCCCGAATGTAGAACCCGAGAGAGGGACAGGCTGGTGTGAAGATGATATATGGGGGCGTACAGCATGCCATGGGGGAAGGAAGCATGACAACAGTGGGGGAGACTCACTAAAACTGGAGCACACAGGATCTGGTGCAGTTGTGTATGGGAGCCAATCAGCTTCTAACTTCAGCCTATTTAGTTAAGCTTTGGCAATAAACCCTGCAAGCTGATTGGTTTCTTTGAAGAGCTGCACCAGATTTTGCACCCTCCAGTTTTAGTAAATCACCTCCACTGTGTTGTATATTGGCAATGGCATAATGAGGGACAGTTATGTGCAGAGACTGTATACACTGCACACATATTGTATGCCACAGCCCTAGTACCCCCAATATATTCTGTAATTACTGTGCCACAAATGACAGTCTCACAGACACACATACACATAAGGACAAAGGACCAAAAACATGGAAACTCTTCCATTGCATATGCTTTTCGTCACACAAAATATGGGCAGGGAGCTAACACTTTATCTGAGCCTACCTTTATGAATGATTTCATTAGAACAGTTTGCAACTACATAGTAACCAGAAACTGATGAGACAATGAACTAATTGACCAGCAGATTGTAATGTACAGCACAGCTTCTAGAGTGCCAGAGGCAAAGCTGTGTAATGTACAACATAGAATATAGAGTGTAGTGGCCAGAAGTATGTAATTTACAACATAACATATAGTGCAGTGGTTAGCAGTATGTAATGTACCACATATCACAGAGAGTGCAGTGGTAAGGGGTGTGTAATGTACAGCACAGCATACAGCATGCAAAGAATGTACATAGAGTGCAGAGGGTAACATGGTGATTAGCTATTGTTCTTAGGAGGTAAAAAAATGCCATCACATTGGAGGTCAGTGGGAGAATAAATGCCTTAGTGTCAGTGGTCAGAAGAAGGAAAATGTTACAGCATTATTGGCAGGAAAAATTCCTCCTAATAGATGACAGTCCATAGAAGGAAGAATACCCAAACATTGGTGTCAGTGGTAAGAAAAACATTATGCACCATTAATCAGAGATGAGAATATTTTCCATCATTGGTTTCAGAGGAAGGAAGACTTTTCCCATAGTGGGTGTCACTAGAGGGTGGGACAATGCAGACAACATTAGGCAGGAGGTCTCTCCACCTCACAGCACCAGCACCTGACTCCGGAATATGGAATAGAAACATCCCCAGCACCCCGAGTTTCTCCAATGTGTGGGTCCGAAGCTTTTATTGTGTAATTACATAGATACAAGAAAAGCAAACTTTTGGAGTCTCACAGGACCCCTTCATCAAGAATGGGATGTGTCACATGTCTGATGAAGGGGTCCTGCGAGACTCCAAAAGTTTGCTTTCCTTGTATCTATGTAATTACATGTTAATAGCTTCCGACCCACATTGGAGAAACCCGGTGTGCTGGTGATGTTTCTGTTCCTTGATGTATCACGGTTCCAGCCGCTGGTCCCTGCAGCCCCCACTATACATACAGTCGTTGTACAATGCAGGAACGTGTGCGATGGGATTGTGTAACTATGACTCCGGAATATGACACATAACTGCAGGACATTTGCAGGATATCCAATAACTCAGAGCAACTATCCATCTCCCAGACATCATTCTCCTTGCCTGAAAGGTGACATCTGATAGAGGAGACTGACAACGTAAACTCATTACAGTTTCTTTAAACTTTCAATACATTTTTCTATATTTTTCAGGAAATTTGCGGCCGCTAAACCAGGAGGTGGAATGGGTTGAGGACTTTAATAAAAATGTGGACAGAGTAATGGCTGAATTCAATAACGAGGACAGTTTGCATGATCTAATTGTCCCGGTTCTTATACACAGGTAAGAACTAAAAACATACTATGGGGTGTTTGTGACAGAGATAAAGTGTTACTGAACCCACAACAGTATAATCAGTCTGTAGATGCAGCAAAGCATGCTGGTTATACCCACTGTGGAACCTAAGGGGTTAATCCTCCGCATTGTGTAAAAAGGCTATTTGGTCCTGTCTTCTCTGTTCCATCCCTTGTTCAAGTGATTGCCTCTTATCTCCTGATAAGATAGACTGACCTGTAGGCATTTTGCACATGCTCATTTTGGTGTGTATTGCTGGAAAGGTTTTTTTTTTTTTGCCCTTGGGAGAGTGCATGTGATCAGCACAGGGCCAATCAGCACTGTCCAGACAGAGGTCAGTGGTGCTGCATCCTCCTAGAGCAGAAAGAAAACTCCGCCTACATGCTTTAACCAGTGCTCTGCTGGACACTGATAGAAGCCACAAGACTGCTATATACTGCTGATGGGAAAAGGTATTTAGCCGTTTAAACTTACTAAAATAATTACATTTCCATGTTGTGTGTACTGTTGGAGACTAGATATAGTGAATCCAGGGTCTGGGAGAGCGATATAGTGAATGCGGGTTCCAGGGAGAGCGGATATAGTGAATGCAGGGTCCGGGGAGAGAGCGATATAGTGAATGCAGGGTCCGGGGAGAGCAGATATAGTGAATGCAGGGTCTGGGGAGAGCGGATATAGTGAATGCAGGGTCCAGGGAGAGCGGATATAGTGAATACAGGGTCCGGGGAGAGCGGATATAGTGAATGCAGGGTCCGGGGAGAGCGGATATAGTGAATGCGGGGTCCGGGCAGAGCGGATATAGTGAATGCGGGGTCCGAGTAGAGCGGATATAGTGAACGCGGGGTCCCAGGGAGAGACCAGATATAGTGAATGCGGGGTCCGGGGAGAGCGGATATAGTGAACGCAGGGACCAGGGAGACCAGCGGATATAGTGAATGCGGGGACCGGGGAGAGCGGATATAGTGAATGCGGGGTCCGGGGAGAGCAGATATAGTGAATGCGGGGTCCGGGGAGAGCGGATATAGTGAACGCAGGGACCAGGGAGAGACCGGATATAGTGAATGCAGGGTCCGGGGAGAGCGGATATAGTGAATGCGGGTCCGGGGAGAGCGGATATAGTGAATGCGGGGGTCCGGGGAGAGAGTGATATAGTGAATGCGGGGTCCAGGGGAGACCAGATATAGTGAATGCTGGGTCCGGGGAGAGCGGATATAGTGAATGCGGGTCCGGGAGAGCGGATATAGTGAATCCGGGTTCCGGGGAGAGCGGATATAGTGAATCCGCAGTTTTCCAGGGAGAGCGGATATAGTGAATGCAGGGTCTGAGGCAGGGGCGGACTGACAACTCATGGGGCCCCCGGGCAATAGGGGATCATGGGGCCCCTGTGTCCTTGCCCAAACCCAAAAAAGCCTATGAAAAAGGTATCAGGGGCATCTCATGGGGCCCCCTACTGACCCTGGGCCCTCGGGCAGTGCCCGAGTTTCCAAATGGTCAGTCCGCTCCTGGTCTGAGGAGAGAGTATATAATGAATGCAGGGTCCACGGAGACCGGATATAGGGAATGCAGAGTCAGGGGAGAGCGGATATAGTGAATGCGGGGTCCGGAGAGTGGATATAGTGAATGCGGGGTCCGGGGAGAGCGGATATAGTGAATGCGGGGTCCGGGGAGAGCGAATATAGTGAATGCGGGGTCCGGGGAGAGCGGACAATGTATAGTGAATGCGGGGTCCCGGGGAGAGCGGATATAGTGATGCGGGGTCCGGGGAGAGCGGATATAGTGAATGCGGGGTCCGGGGAGAGCGGATATAATGAATGCAGGGTCCACGGAGACCGGATATAGGGAATGCAGAGTCAGGGGAGAGCGGATATAGTGAATGCGGGGTCCGGAGAGAGGATATAGTGAATGCGGGGTCCGGGGAGAGCGGATATAGTGAATGCGGGGTCCGGGGAGAGCGGATATAGTGAATGCGGGGTCCGGGGAGAGCGGATATAGTGAATGCGGGGTCCGGGGAGAGCGGATATAGTGGATGCGGGGTCCGGGGAGCGGATATAGTGGATGCGGGGTCCGGGGAGAGCGGATATAGTGGATGCGGGGTCCGGGAGAGCGGATATAGTGGATGCGGGGTCCGGGGGAGAGCGGATATAGTGGGATGCGGGGTCCGGGGAGAGCGGATATAGTGGATGCTTGGGGGGATATAGGGTCCGGGGAGAGCGGATATAGTGAATGCGGGGGCCGGGGAGAGCGGATATAGTGAATGCGGGGGCCGGGGAGAGCGGATATAGTGAATGCGGGGGGCCGGGAGAGCGGGTGCGGGGTCCGGGGAGACGGATATAGTGAATGCGGGGGCTGGGAGAGCGATATAGTGAATGCGGGGGTCCGGGGAGAACGGATATAGTGAATGCGGGGGCCGGGGAGAGCGGATATAGTGAATGCGGGGGCCGGGGAGAGCGGATATAGTGAATGCGGGGGCCGGGGAGAGCGGATATAGTGAATGCGGGGGCGGGGAGAGCAGATATAGTGAATGCGGGGTCCGGGGAGAACGGATATAGTGAATGCAGAGTTTGGGGTTTAGCATCAGTTTAATTCAGACGTCTAACATGGATTGAGGTCATATTAGAGGCATTTCCTGCAATGAAGTCTCTCAGTCTTTGATGAAAAAAACATTAGCAATGAATATAGTTTCACATGTAATGGATTTATAACAAATATTTTTTCTCTCAGTGTAAATAATGATATCCAGAATGAAGTTGGGTTGTTCAGACAATTACTGAACACTGCCCGAGAACTAACTGGTTAGTATTTGGGGTATTTTTGTCATGTGGTTGTTTTTTCCTCTCCTCTCTGTTCATGTCATGGTAGTCTCTCCTCTCTCTATCTCCCAGACATTCCATGTGTGTTTTTGAAGGTATATGGGCTATATGAAAACTGCGTGATCGTAATGGGAATTTCTATTTTTTCAGCAAAATTTCCCAGTGTCTTTGTCAATCTCTACTCACGTCACCATAGCTCAGTTCAAAAATTGTATACAGTCAGGTCCATAAATATTGGGACATCGACACAATTCTAACATTTTTGGCTCTATACACCACCACAATGGATTTGAAATGAAACAAACAAGATGTGCTTTAACTGCAGACTGTCAGCTTTAATTTGAGGGTATTTACATCCAAATCAGGTGAACGGTGTAGGAATTACAACAGTTTGCATATGTGCCTCCCACTTATTAAGGGACCAAAAGTAATGGGACAATTGGCTTCTCAGCCGTTCTATGGCCAGGTGTGTGTTATTTCCTCATTATCCCAATTACAATGACCAGATAAAAGGTCCAGAGTTCATTTCAAGTGTGCTATTTGCATTTGGAATCTGTTGCTGTCAACTCTCAAGATGAGATCCAAAGAGCTGTTACTATCAGTGAAGCCATCATTAGGCTGAAAAAAACAAAACAAACCCATCAGAGAGATAGCAAAAAACATTAGGCATGGCCAAAACAACTGTTTGGAACATTCTTAAAAAGAAGGAACGCACCGGTGAGCTCAGCAACACCAAAAGACCCGGAAGACCACGGAAAACAACTGTGGTGGATGAGCGAAGAATTCTTTCCCTGGTGAAGAAAACACCCTTCACAACAGTTGGCCAGATCAAGAACACTCTCCAGGAGGTAGGTGTATGTGTGTCAAAGTCAATAATCAAGAGAAGACTTCACCAGAGTGAATACAGAGGGTTCACCACAAGATGTAAACCATTGGTGAGCCTCAAAAACAGGAAGGCCAGATTAGAGTTTGCCAAACGACATGTAAAAAAGCCTTCACAGTTCTGGAACAACATCCTATGGACAGATGAGACCAAGATCAACTTGTACCAGAGTGATGGGAAGAGAAGAGTATGGAGAAGGAAAGGAACTGCTCATGATCCTAATCATACCACCTCATCAGTGAAGCATGGTGGTGGTAGTGTCATGGCGTGGGCATGTATGGCGGCCAATGGAACTGCTTCTCTTGTATTTATTGATGATGTGACTGCTGACAAAAGCAGCCGGATGAATTCTGAAGTGTTTCGGGAATATTATCTGCTCATATTCAGCCAAATGCTTCACAACTCATTGGACGCCGCTTCACAGTGCAGATGGACAATGACCCAAAGCATACTGCAAAAGCAACCAAAGAGTTTTTTAAGGGAAAAAAAGTGGAATGTTATGCAATGGCCAAGTCAATCACCTGACCTGAATCCGATTGAGCATTTCACTTGCTGAAGACAAAACTGAAGGGAAAATGCCCCAAGAACAAGCAGGAACTGAACACAGTTGCAGTAGAGGCCTGGCAGAGCATCACCAGGGATGAAACCCAGCGTCTGGTGATGTCTATGCGTTCCAGACTTCAGGCTGTCATTGACTGCAAAGGATTTGCAACCAAGTATTAAAAAGTGAAAGTTTGATTTATGATTATTATTCTGTCCCATTACTTTTGGTTCCTTAATAAGTGGGAGGCACATATGCAAACTGTTGTAATTCCTACACCGTTCACCTGATTTGGATGTAAATACCCTCAAATTAAAGCGGACAGTCTGCAGTTAAAGCACATCTTGTTCGTTTCATTTCAAATACATTGTGGTGGTGTATAGAGCCAAAAATGTTAGAATTGTGTCGATGTCCCAATATTTATGGACCTGACTGTACGTTCGTAAAGTATTTTAGTCTTTTCTGTTCTTTTCTTTTCTATTATTGTATAATCTATTCTTTTTTTTCCATAAAATTTATTAGGAAAGTAGATAGCATAAACAATATACACTTAGTACAAAGTGTGTATATTGTTTATACATATAAAGTGTGATAAAAAAAAAAAGGAAAACGCATTGTAAAACAATGAACAAAAGCCATACATAGAGAGATTGTTAGGTAAACAAACATAGACAAAGATCGCATGTCATACATAATATTAATGATGTTAGTAATGTTAGTAGGCAATTAGAAGAGGCGACAGTCACGTCAAGGGTGAAGGCACTGAAAACCCAAAACCATAATAAGGCAACGGAGAACCACAATACAGGTAAGTTCAGGCACTTAGTTCCCCATGTGCCTAACATCGTATAAAGGCAAGGTGAGGGGGCAGAGGAAGTGCGTAAAGACTAAATATATCCTGAAGAGGAAAACAGGCACTGAGAGCATTAAGCAAACCCAAAAAATAAAAGGGGGAGCTGTGAAGAGGGTTACAAGTAATGGTTACCCGTGTGCGGGAGGAGGTCTGCATGAATCAGTAGGCACATATATTGCAATTTACATATGGGTATGAGTGTGGGTCACCTATGGGCAGGGAAAAAAGTGGAAGGGCAGGAGGAGGAGAATAAAGTAGGACATGCAGAATTGAAAGGAAAAAAGGAAAGATAAAGGATAAAATAAAAAGGAGTCAGAAAGGAAGGAGAAGGGATTAGGGGTGCTAGAGAGAAGAAGAAAAAAAAAAAAACAAAAGGGGGGGGGGCAAGGGAAGGGAGGGGGAGAGGAGATCAAAGTGGGAAGGGAGGGCGTTAGGGAGGGGGCAGTATAGGCAGGCATATTACCGGTGTGAAGGCTTCAAGGACACAACAATTAAAAGCAACCCGAAGAGGATAGAAACGTGTGTCAGATAATCGTGAGACCCATAAGGGAATGGAATTCAGGGGTCCAGCAAGACCAGATATGGCAGTATTTGGTTGGGTTATCTTGTGATGAAGCTATCAGCTCTTCCATCTCCACAACTTTTCCCAAACGTGTGAGCCAGTCTTGTATTAAACGAGGGTGCGTGGATCTCCATAGACCAGGTAGACAGAGTCTAGCTGCGTTGAGCATATGCATAGCAAGTGATTTAAAATAAAGGCGTCTGGGAAGCAGGGGCGGACTGACCATTTGGAAACTCGGGCATGGCCCAAGGGCCCGGGGTCAGTAGGGGGCCCCATGAGATGCCCCTGGTACCTTTTTCATAGGCTTTTTTGAGTTTGGGCAAGGACACAGGGGCCCCATGATCCCCTATTGCCCGGGGGCCGAGGTTATCCGGTGAACCTCCTGCCAGAAGGGCTGGATAATTGGGCATAACCACCAGATATGGAAAAGAGACCCATCAGGTGCCCCACACCTCCAACATTTGTTGGGCAGAGAGGGATTGTAGTGATGGATTCTAGAGGGGATACGGTACCAACGGGATGCCAGTTTGTAGCTGTTTTCTTTCCTTGATACATTCAACGAGCATTTGTGGGAGTATGTAAATATTTGGTCCCAGTCTGAAGAGGAGAAATCTGTTTCCAGGGCCCTGCTCCATGCTCGGCATGCGGGGAGGGAGTCATGGTTCCCACCGCCAACTAGGAGGAGGTAAACGAATGAAATCAGGTGCCTCTGGGGTTCAGCTTTAGAGCAAATAGATTCAAAGAGGGTAAGAGGACGGGTCCATTTGTGACGGTGTTCATGCGTTTGCAGAAAATGCCTAATTTGGAGGTAAGTCCAAAAGGAGAAACTACGATCTCTCATGCTGCCCTCCAACTAAGAGTAGAGCTTCAATTGGACTTTTTGGAAAAAGTGTTCTGCTTTCATCTGGCTATGTGGCCAATGTCTGGATAGAAAGGCCTTATGCATGCCTGGAGGGAAGGCGAGATTTAGGCGGAGAGAGGTTAAGGGGTTAGGAGCGTCCGAAATGGAGGCCGACTCGCAGGTCAGATGGAAGATTTTCAGAGTAGATCCCAACAATGAATGTGTGAGGAGGGCCTGAGGTGTATGCTTCACCAGAAGTCAGGGGATCGATGCTATGGGGAAGGGGGAAAACAAGTTCTCTAATTGCACCCAAGCTTTGGTGGTCGAATATAGCATGCCAATCTATAATTCTGGAAAGATGGCAAGCCCAGTGATAACGTTGTAGGTGAGGGAGCCCGAACCCTCCTTTAGATTTAGGGAGAACCAGTTGGGAATATGAAATGTGCGGATGCTTGTGATTCCAGAGAAACAATGAGCACATTCTTCTGCACGAGGTAAAAAAAGGCAGG